TCCTTCCGAAAGAATTCAATAGGAGCCTTCTTCTCTGGTTCTCTGGTGAGCTATGAGCTATCCTTGTTCTCCAATGAGGGCCAACTCTGGCGGACTTGGCTCTGGTTAGAGGCGTTCGGGTTTTGGGGGTACGACGAGAGGTTGGGGGATTCTGTGGCTTCCCGGCTATGGAGTGTTGCTGGGAGGCTGCCAGCCTAGCAGAGGCGTGGCGGGTGGCTGAAGCGATGGCTGCGGATGTGGTGGAAGAAAAAAGTTGGGCGATGCCGGCGCCGGCGCCAAGGCTGCCTTTGTTTGAGTGGTTAGGGTTTGCAGCGGTGCAGGTGGCGGTGGCGCTGCTGGAGGTGAACGGGGATCTAGAGGAGGCGGTCGAGTGTAGCATGAAACGACGACTTCTCGACGGATTTGCTTGGGAGCGTGTTTGCAGGGCAAGGGCTTCGGCGGCTTGGCGCTGCCGAAGCTAGAGACAGAGGAGGCCGAGGTGCACAACAAATGGAGAAAGATGTGGCAATAGTGGATTGGGTGGCTCTGTGGCAAGGGGAAGAAAAAGGAAAAAGGTTAGCCCGGAGAAGGAGATCTGGACCGTAAATTTCATATCCAATGGTTAAAAATCCAATGGATCTTTTTCCAACAAAAATCCGTCATAGTACATGTAAACGGTAGCTTTTCTTAAAGTAAAATGTTGGATATGCATACCACACAAAACACATGCTGACCACTGAATGCACCACAACGTGTTATGCACCAGAACACGTTATGTAACCACATTTAATTTTACGTTTTTATAATTAAGATTAGAATTTATTTTTTATTGTCACAAAAAATTTGGAAAAGTAATACTATGCACCATCAAAGAAAATTAAAAACATATATAGAAAAGAAAATAATACAATTTACCCAAATCAACATGAGCGTTACCTACCTGTCCTGTTGTGTGGTTAGCCTTTTCCTGCGTGGAGTACATCACATTGTTCAGCTGTTTGGGCCAACTACCGAAACAAGCCATAGTGTACAGATGAAGGAGCCAAGAAGCATTGCTACGCAGCTTATTGTCTATCTATATCTATATAAAGTAAAATTAGGGGACAAGCCAGTAACTACCCGGTTGGCAACGCCTAATGCCCTGTTGTCGACTGTTCACTGCTAAGGCTTGTTTGATGCTAATAATAAAAGAAGGGCACTACTAGGGCCAGAGTGCACAGTCGAGCGCACTTGCGCCCTCACACTAGAAATTCCACCTCGTCCACTAAAAAATAAAAATAAAAACAAAATCTTCCCGCATCGTCTTCTCCGCGCGACATCCCCGCCACCGGTTTCACCCCCACGTCTTCCCCGCGTCCGGCATCGCCTCACCCGCTGCCTCCTCGCCCCGGCCAGCTCCAGATCCGGCGGCGCCGCCTCCACCCCCACCTCTAGCACCTCCCACTGCTCTGGCGCCCACCGCCCCGCCACCGGCGGTAGGGTCTCGACGGAGCTCCGTGGCCGCGGCTGTGGCCGTAGAGCTCCGACGAGATCATACTGCCGGCGGCGACCACCTTCTTCCCCTCCCACCTCCCGCTTACTCCCTCCTGCGAGCTCCGGTGAACTCCAGCCATGGAACCCCTGCCCTGACCTGGCCCAGCTGCCACTACCGCTACCAGCCCCCTTAAATTGTCCACCGGCCATCCCCACCACCTGCCCTACCTGCCTCCCCCGGCCGGCCATTCAATAGCCCATCGGATTTGGGGAAGAAAGAGGGGGAGAGGTTCACTAGAACCCTAAGAAGTAGATCCGGGAGGAGAAGGAGGAGTAGGAGGAGGAGGCCGCCGGCATTGGAACCTGCGCGGGCACTTTGGGGCGTTGGTGCGGCCACCAGGGACGACCTCGCCGGAGTGGGGCACGCGGGCGCGGCTGCCGGGGAGAGTTCGCTGGAGATGAGAGAGAGAGAGAGAGAGAGAGATAGATAGATAGATAGATAGATATAGAGAGAGAGAGGGTGTGCGGTGGGGAGGAGTCGTGGAGATAAGCGCGTGCGTGCCTCGGTGGGGCGTGCGCTTCCGTTGTTTGGTCGTGGGATTGGATCAGACGGCCTGTGCGGTGTGCACGCCAAGAGACGCGGGCCTGCGTGCTTGGAAAGTAGCATTAGGGGTAAAATTAAGTAATAGTTAGGGAATTTGGTGTTTCTGTCCTTATTTTAGATTGCAATGGTGATTTTGTCCCTACTTTTAAACTTTGTGATTTTGCCCTCGCGATTTTGGAACGAAGCCTCCGTTTACCTCTGTTTCTAACACTGTTAAATCTAAGTGGATTAAATGGTTGCTACTGATAATCGAGGGTAGAAACGTTCATATGAATGCTAAGGCAATGGAAGTGGAATATTAATGGACCTTAGTTTTGTACTGTTGAACTGTTTCAGTTTCTAATGTTCATATTTACATGTGCATCTGAATGGATTATTGTAACTCAGTTGATGTGACTTTTTAGATGAAAATTAAAGCTGTCGAATTTTGTTTGCTTTTACCCTAATTGAATTGTCCAATTCATACGAAAATTGCTTAAACCGATTATCCGAAAGTAGGGGTAAAAACCACAAAGAACAAAATAAAATAGCGGCAAAATCACATGCGCAAATTTGTCCTTTTGTTCAAAACTTAACAACGTTAAGAAGAGTACTTCATAGGCCAGGGGCAAACTCTTCGTTCGTTTTGAAAATGCAGCGGTAAATCACAAAGTTAAAAAACAAGCGCAAAATCACCATTTCGCTACAAAACAAGAGTATAAACGCTTAAGCCCCTATTAATCAAGATTTAATTGTCTTTTTGGTGCGGCCTGCACCAAACTGTTGGCATGAGGAGCGTTCTATAGCATGGAATGTATATGACAGTCATAGAATGTTGCTAATAATAAAAGAAAGTAATAACTAAGTGCCTGTTTGGTGTGGTTCCAGCTCAAGGAGTGCTTCTGGCATGGAATAGGTTGTTCCGGCTCAAGGAGAGTGCTTCTGGCATGGAATCGGTGAGGAACGCTCCTAGCATGGAATGGGTGAGGTGGAGCCATTTTCTCCAATGGCAGGCGGACCGGCTTAAGTGTCTGTTTGGTGCGGCCTGCACCAAACTATAGACCAGAGCAGCGTTCTAGCATGGAATGTACGACTGACATAGAATGTTGCTAATAATAAAAGAAAGTAATAAATAAGTGCCTGTCTGGTGTACTTCTGGCTTAAAGAGTGCTTTGGGCATGGAATAGGTGAGGAGGAGCGCTCCTGGCATGGAATGGGTGAGGAGGAGCTGTTTTCTCATATGGCAGGCGGACCGGCTCAAGGAGTACTTTCTGGCATGGAATATGTGAGGAGGAGCGCTCTTGCCTCATGGCATGGAATGGTTGCGGAGGAGCCATTTTCTCATACGGCAGAAAGACCCGCAATTTTGGGCTTCGGTTGATGTTTAGTGCAAGCAGGAGCACTTCTGGTGTGGAATAGATGAGGAGCGCTACTGGCATGGAGCGGGTGAGGAGGAGCCATTTTCTCGTATGCCAGATGGACCCATGATTTTAGGCTTTGGTGGAAGGGCTTTGCCTCCGACATAGGAGCACGCGGAACGGAGCCCCTTCAAATAGCCCCTAAATATAAGAGAATAAATTTTTTAATTGGATCTTACTTTGGATACTAGTTGGATATATTGATGAAAATGTCGGATATTAGCGAAAAATATCCAAATTCGTATTTGATATTTGAGAAAATTTGTGGATATCTAACAAAATGTCTAGTCTTTTGTAAAATATCCAAACTAGGCAAGCCCATGCTAGGGCTACCACACCTTCATGCGCTAAGGGCTGGCAAGCCTGCACTAGGGGCTGCGCCTCCGGTGGCCGACATGTACCGAGGGCCTGTGAGCCGGCGCCGAGAACCTACCCCACCTACTCATGTACCGAACGACTACTGTGCACCTAGGGTCAGCGAGCCCACGTCGTGGACCGCCCCTCCGAGCTGGTGCCATGCGCCGAGGTTTGGTTTGCCTGCGCCGCTGAAGGGTACACCACTACTATAGAAAGGTAATCACCGCCGGCTCCAGAACCCCCATTACCGACGGTTTTGGCCCCGTTGGTGTATGTCGGCGGTGATCGGTGACCTTTATCTCTGCCGGTTGCGCGCCGGCGGTGATGATATTTTACCTCCGTCGGTCCGGCGTACCATACGGCGGTGACGGTGTCTTACCACCACCGGCCTTGCATACGATCCGGCAGTGATGGTGTAACCATCGATGCCGGTCCGTGTACCATCCGGCGGTGATGATGTGTCCATCAACGCCGGTCCGGAGTACCATCCGGCGGTGATTGCGTAATCATCGATGCCGGTCCGGTGTACGATCCGGCGGTGATGATGCGTCCATCGACGCTTCCGGCGTACCATCCGACGGTGATGATATAACCATCGATGCCGGCCATGCGTACCATCCGGCGATGATGATGCAACCTTCGACGCCAGCCCGGCATACCATCCGGTGGTGATGATGCAGCCATCGACGCTGGGCCGGCGTACCATCTGGTGGTAACGATGTGCCTATCATCGCCGAGTCATTGTACCAACCGGCGGTGATAATGGACCTATCAATGCCAGACCGGCGTACCATCCGGCTGTGATGACGAGACATCAACGCTGGTCTGGCGTACCATACGGCTGTGATGTAGGTGCCATCGCATGCGGCTGGTGTTCCCTCCGGCGGTAATGAGGGGCAGCGTCATCGCCGCCGTTGTGTTTGTTCCGGCAGTAATGTTGTGTCCATTACAGCCGGCGTTACCACTGTGCATCATTATTGTTCAAAATACATTATAGCACCAACAATACAGGAATTTCATGGCTTACACAGCGCAGGCAACATATATAGGAAGAGACAATGTATTGTATCCAAACATATATCACCACCGAGACACAAATATCCATACAAAACAACAACGACAAACATAGTTTTCAAACACTGGCATCCAACAACAGCAAATATATAGTTTTCAGAACGCTAGCACCTTGATTAGAGAAGGTGATGGACTCCTTTGGGGTTCACGACTTTGTCTAAAATGAAACCGGAAAGATCTTCTTGGAACCCAAATATCTCCAAATCAGTCAGCTCTGGTGTAGATGACACTTCAGTCTAGAACACAAGAAAAAGGTGAAACAAAGTTAAGAAAAGCTTTGCTACACACTCTAAGTATGTCCCGAGGTCATCCAAATTTACTAAAGGTGTTGAGGGGCCAAACCTGTGAGCCGGAGAAAGCATTTATGAGGCTGCACATGTAATGCATGACATAGAACCCGCAGAGATCATTGCCCGCAGGCTGCATTTGGATCGAACCAACCGATACTACTTGAAACCTAGATCTGCCAACCTCACGATGTTTCTTGGACCTTGACTTGAACTTCTCGTAGGCCCTGTGTGACAAGTTCATGACAGCGACATAAGATGATCGGAGCTATGTAACAAATAATCTTATCACTGTCTTACTTGTTCAGCGCCTCAATGAAGGGATGGATGTTCTCTAGTTGGCTCCCTCGAGAGTCGTAATCGTTGACAGTGGTCCTCTCTACACTGATGTCAAGAAGGACATGATGGTCGCCGCTGCATTGACAATGCCACCGCTGGTTCCAATTAGGTTAAACCCTCAAATATGTAATGGAGTAGAAAATTAGGCATTTACAACAAACTTACACGCGGTTGTAGGATAGAAGTATGCTACGGGATTTGTTGAGATGGAAGCTCTTTGCCAATTCATCTATGGTGCTAGTGTACTTTAGTGTCCCGTGATTGCATACCACTAGGTTCAAGAAGCCTATTTGAATCTGTTGCGCACTGCAGAAGTCTGCCTCCTTCCTACAAAACATTGTGTAGTTGTTAGAAACTCAACTCGGAGCTATAAAATGCATGGCGTACTAACTAAACTTACATGGTCCACAAGCTCATGATATGAATGTCTAGGGCCAACTTTTGGTAAAATTTAGACAATGCCTTGAACTGAATCCACAATGAGTCATCTTTTCCCTTATAAAATTGTTTATCCAAAATTCTTGCACCAAACCCATCACTACATTGAGCTTTGTACCAATTACTCACCTACCGCCCTCTTGATCCTAATTTCAAGACTTCTTCGGGAGCTACCAGATCACCCCCAGCCTGAAACTACCATGCAGGTGGCGCCTCCTCTCTATCCCGTCGAAAATCAGCATCTGCATGTTCTTCCTCTGTCGTTGTGTTTTCTTGCAAGTTCTGAGATAGTTGAGTTGTAGTCCTAGTAGATGGACTGGTCTTGCGAGTCTTGGATCATAGAGGTTCCTCTGTCGATGTGTTTTCTTGCAAGTTATGAGATAGTGGAGTTGTATTCCTAGTAGATGGACCGGTCTTGCGAGTCTTGGGTCGTAGCGGCGATGAAATACTTGGTCCCCTGTATTGGTGCATGTCTTCCGAGTCTTCATCATCCATATCATCGTCGGATTTGGAATCCGAGCCAAAGGACATGTAGCGCTTGAGCCAAAAAAAACTTGGCAACCCAAGTTCTCCCCCAGTGTCTTCATATCCTCATCCTCTGGGTGATCTAACTCAACTGCACGATACCTGGTCTTAGTTACTGCATCAATGGTCACCTTCGAGTACCGTACAGGCAACATATGGTTTTGCAACACATCCCCCACAAGGATAGGCAAGACCTTGTGCCACCTTGGTCTTATAGAACTTCTCTTGAACGTATAGGTTGCAAGGTATTGGCTCCATGATCTTATCAACGGGGAACGTGAGACATGCGTCATCGAGAGGAAGCGGTGTGCTTCCACAGCTACTCCGTACCCGGTCTGGGCTGATGACCCCGACCACAGCATCATCATCTTGTGCCCAAGGACAGTTCTTCATTATCTCCTCAAGCTCTTGAAGAAAATGTTGATTGTTTTCTTTCATTTCATGTCGAACAGCCTCCATCAGACGTTGCATCTCTAATTCTTTTTTGGCATTCCTCCTCATACGACTTCTGTACGTGGAGATGTCATCTGGGAAGGAAAGCTCCCATGGAATAAGTCCGAACCCTCATGTACGACTAGGATGCTCTTTGTTTCCTAGTGCCCGGGTCAGCTGATCATTCTCCGTATTATGATTGAAAGTACCATTAGCAACTTCCTCATGGACCGCCTTCATCCTTTGTGCCAGTTCCTAGGTTGCAGCATCCCGATAACTTAGGGAGCCATCTGGGTTGAAGGTAAGCCCCCTCCCAGAAGGAACCTTACAGAGCGAGGATCCCAGTCAGATGTACAGACCGTAACACCGCTCTAGGTCAGCTCCTCCTCCTCCCGTTCCCAATCTCGGATTTTCCTCGCATAGCCACGCGAGCCGGTGCAATGTGGCATCCTATTTTTGCGGGAGTTGATCGTATTTGTCTCACTCTATTCCTTCGCCTCATCCGATTCCTTCCAACTCACGAAATCACTCCAATACTCTTGCTGATGTGGGTATTTACGTCATTCTGGCTCGATGCCCTTCTTTACATAGTTTTTCTTCAGGTAGTACCTAAAATACTTGAATGAGTTGCCCATGATAAAGAATGCCCTCTCCTTTGTAACCTCTTCATCAAATCCAGCAGGAAACTCAAACAGGTCCTTCAACTTCTGCCAGCAAAGTTCCATCTGGATGGAACCACCCATTCACTATTCCTTTTTATGCTAGCACCTGTACTTGATGGGTATGTTGTCCTTCACTAACACCCCAATGGCCGTCTTGTATGGCCCCATGACACCAATTGGCTCAATGGGTTCTCCGGCCGGATCCACCAACGTGATCACATGTTTAGCGCTGCTGGGCAAGGTGGGCAACTTGCTCGGCCCTCGCTTAGCCCGGCACCTAGCTGGTCTATCTGCTGTGGTTGTTGTGTTACTCTCGGTGGGAGGTGCCTCCTGCGCACACACACACACACACACACATATCAGAGTTGTCTCCGGTACGGAAATACAAAGATGGATTACCCCGCCACTTCCCTGGAGGTCGAGGAACGAGGAAGGGGAAGATGGTTCGCCACCTTAGGCCCTGCTACTACATTCGGAGGCTGACTCCCCAAATCAGTCCGACCAGTCCGTCGTCGATTGGTGACCATTTGCCGTGTCTATTGTCCAATAGAAGCCATCCTTCTAAAAGTCCTAACAAAACACAATTTCGTCAAGCCATTCAATTAAAAACTTAGCGAAAAAATGAGTTGATGCTACCTAGCAAGGTACACTCACAACGTTCCAATATGGGTACACATAACTAAAATATGAAGTGATGACGAACCTTGCGATGAAGTTCCTCTACAAGTCATTTTCACCTGCACAAATAAAGTAGCCTTGTTAAACACCAGATGCCCAAGCTCCAGATGAGTACTACCGCCGTCCAGAAAAGAATGCAATTATGAGATCCGCGCCGGTCAATATAGCTCAATTTTGACCAAGTTTACATTAAATAGTATTAACATTTATGTGTCAACATAAATTTATTATGAAAATATATAGTATAACTAATCTAATGGTACTTTTTTTACATAAATTTAGTGAAAGTTCAAATGGCTTGACTTCTCGAAAAGCGAGAATTGCATCCTTTTGTGGACGGATGGACTACATATAAATGGTAAAGCTACGATGGATCTACACATATGATAGTTCTACATGCAAATCGAGTTCTACAATATGTTATCTTTAACTTCTAGTCCTAAATAAATGGAATGCAAACACAATGCGGAAAAGATACAAGAATCTAACCCTAGGCTGCTATTTTCACTTAATAAACATACAAGAATAATTGATGGCTCACGCTTCACCACTACTCTGCATCTAGCCCTGGCCAATCCAAAGTTTATTTACCTCAGATCTGCAGGAAATGACAGCTGGAGAGGTGGGATTTGATGGCTGGGAAAATGGATAGCGACCTCGACTGCCGTCGGCGAACGGTGGAGTGGGGGGAAGCCGGGGGGTGGGCCGACGGTGAACGGTAGAGTGGGGGTGGGGGGGCAAGCCGGCGGTCGGGACGCCACTGAATGGTGGGGAGGGGAAGCCAGCGGATGGGCCGCCGGTGAAGCAGCAGCGATCTGGCAGGGCGACGGTGACTCAGCGAAATGACAAGCGGCTCTAGGTGTAGGGGCGGGAATGAAAAATTTGGGGAATTTTTTGCCACGGGCACTTATATACCGGGTTCATTTTACACCGACGGTGCGAATGCTAGGACAGCGGTGCTCATCAACATGACTGCGGTCCCAACGTCCCTGCGAATAAACAAATGGAAGAGGACACTCCACCCGACGTGTGATACTGTACCAGGAGTGATGTTTTCCACTCAGCCAGGGAACACTGTATCATGTGCTGAGATGTTGATGAGACAAGTTTTTAGGGCACTTTAGAAACTCTAATTTTAGTTGTCAAATTAACCTGATTGGTTGATTGCCGAAATTGACATTACCTAATATATATATATATTGGTTTGTTGCCAAAATTTGCAGTTCTAATGTATGAATCGCCCCAAATTACATTGGGACCAGTACGTGCCATCCAACTGCTCCAACTCATTTTTCATACTTACTTATATTCTACTTCTACTTGTATTGTACTTCTCCATGACTTCTACTTCTCCATGACTTCACAATACAAGATCAGTGTCATCCCGCTGATCAAAGTCATTTTTCATACTAACTTATATTCTACTTCTACTACATGACTTCATAATATAAGATCAGTGTCATCCCACTGGTCGAAGTCATGATTGCTAATTACATATGTAGCTCTGGGTACACAGAAGGCTGGCGACGATGCATATGGTGCCCTTCTCCTTCAGATCCAGCCATCGTCATCCTCGCCATGATTCCTCTTCGCCAACAGTGGGTAGTGGTGGAAGCCAGCCCTCATTCCTTGCTAGGGCATAGTGGCGACTCTTCTTCGTGTCATCCATGGCGTTGGACTTCGCTGTCCCTAGGATGTGGTTCTTGGGTGCATCCTGGTCCACTACCGGTTCGCCCGACCAGGCAGATGGGGCACCGCAGATTGCCCGTACCGGTCGATGATGCATGAGTGTGACCCTTTGGGAAGGGCGTCACGTACCCACGAGCGCGGTGGTCATCGAATCGACCAATTGACCCTCTTTGCCTCTCTCGGTCAACTTGTCGACACATGGGCCTCAGTATGTCATATTCTCCTTGTGGACATCCCGGATTCAATACACAATGATGGACGGCTTAGATTCCAAACACCAAAAATAGAAGACCGTAACATATGCCAGCGTAACGAGCATCAACCATCACAAAACCGCTCTGATTCAAAATCGCTCTGATTCAATGTGAAATGACGGGAGCGTTGTGGCGACACCTGAGGAACCACAACCGGCGCGGCGTTGTCGTCGGTCACCTTGGGAACCCAATAGCATTGTTTTTGGCTATGCCGTCGAGATGGCATCCAACGTTCAAGATCAAGTGGCACAATGCACTGAGTGGTCGAACGATACTCTTTAAATAACTAAGAAGCAAATCCGTCTTACCACCGGTGACGAGCAATGGCAAGGTACAGCACCAACAAGTCATCTAGCGACGAGTCTAGGGACTCGGCGAATCGCCACAGCACCAGCGAGGAGGAGGAGGAGGTGGCGGAGGCACCAGCAGTCGTCGTCGAGGAGGAGGACGACACACTAGTTTAGCTGGATTAATGACAACATCCATCCTAGACAAAATTAACAAGTCCATAGACAATCAAATAACATTGGTCCATTTGAACGTGCCGTGATAGAGAGATACAACAAATGCAGCTTTATTCATTGCTTTGCTAATGACTCCAAGAACAAGAACAAGGGAACATAAGGAAGAAAGTAAGGTTTGCTTGTGAATCCTGACAGGACGCAACGTCTACCATACCGAAAGACACGGGCAGGGATGGCATGAACTTTTCTGCGGTCCATGTCATACGCGATGAATCTTCTTTCCTCCCCAACAAAGAAAATCAAATTCCATTCTGAATGAACTGTAATCGCTGTGTAGTCCAACTCATAATCCACGTAACCAAATTGAATATTAGTCTTTCCAAACACCTTCAACGTGCTGACAATATGCTTCAATATCCATTTATTAGTAACATAGTCTTCAAGGATCCAGATTGAAACCTAGGACATATTGTGACCACCAACGCTACCATCAGTACATACACACAAGTGACCCTGAGCTTGATGGATGGAGGGTAGAGTACCACGAGGCCTAGGAATTTTCCTCCATGTCTTTCCCTCCATATCCACTGCAAGTATCACAGAGTACCCCGTAATGTGCATAAAACCATTAAGAAACACACTTGCTGATCTTGAACGTATCACATCATCAATGTTCTAGCCCCATTCAGATTCCTTATTGGTCCATTCTGCAGTTCAGATGAGTAGATCTCCACACCTAGGCACCCAACGTCCTCAAGCTCCACAAATTCAATCATATGGATGTGCGAGGAGGCTGTCAGATCAAACCCCAATCGAGCCTAATCGACAGCACGATGCTAGATGGCAGTAGCTGCAAATTCTTGGTTGCCGGATTGCTGATGACATAGCGGGATCCAACACTAGCTGCCTCAACGCACGAGCATAGGATGAGCCCATTGCAGCAATCTAAAACAACTACATTGTCCCTGGGGAAGGGCAAGAAGGACAAGTCGGGGCGTTCAATGGTGAAGCTGGTGAACTTTCGCATGCCGTTCTCTCCGTCGTAGACGAAGCCGGCCACAGTCTGGGGCAGCACCTTATGGTTGTGGGAGATGAGGCTATTCTAGGAGCGACAGAACATTTGTAGCAGAGCAAGGACCGGGTGGGGAGGTGGCAGAGGATCTCGAGAACGACATCCTCTGTGAGGCTAGCTAGTGCGTTCCTCTTGCTTGGGGCCTCCTCCATTTCGTAGAGCCTGCAATCGTCAGTGTCCAGTAAGATGAGAGCTTCCTTACAAATGAGATCACTAAGATCTTGTGATCTTGTTTGGATCAATTCACATGTGTTGGGGTGGATTGAAGTGGATCTTGAGCTAAATTTTACAGCAATCCACCTCAACACATGTGAATTGAGATGAATCTGACAACATCGAAACAAGGCTTAAAGAGGAAAATAATTCGACAAAGATCCATCTTGAAGTGCGAAGGCATACCATGCCTTTAGATCTGGCGGTGGCACGACGTGAGGCGTGCACACAAATAGCGAGACAGGAATAATGGGTCGGCCATGCGGGAGGTGGCGGTGGCCGGCCGGCCTTATTAGGGCTTCAGTCCAGATCAAGGGTCCAGATTCAATACGTACTAATGGACGGCACATATTTCGAGCATCAACCATCACCGTATGAACGTCCCGGCGGTTGTAACACTTTCATAACACACTGGCGTTGGCTTTGGGTCACCACGCGCCCATTCAAACAATGGTTGTTCACCGCCGGTTCATACGGTAATCCGATAGTGATAACCTGATCACCGCTGGATCTTACTGTAGCGCACACGTCCATCATGGCACCGGCAGTAAAAAAATGTTATCTCTGACGGTTTCGTCGGGCAGCAGACATAGGACGAGGAGCCGGCGGTGAAAACCCTTCTACCGCCAGACCGGTGGACGACACGGCTGCGAAGGGTGAGATCATGTTCATCGCCGGATCATACACCGAGCC